CAACCAGTAGCCTTTTGAATGTTCTCCTAAGCTATACATCTTTGTTTCAGGCCTTTTTATGGTATTTTAATTGTTGTATGCTGTTGCCATGTTCGTTTGCAGGTTATCTATGATGATGGAGATCAAGAAATCTTGTATCTCAAGAATCAGAAGTGGAGTCCTCTGGATGAATCAGAATTGTCACAGGTGGGGCATTATATTTCATCCATCTCTGGCTTTTTTTGCTCTTCGCCTATTTTGTAACTTACACTTTCTGTCATCAGGATGAAGAAGCTGCTGATCAGACGGGTCAAGAGGAAGATGCCTCTACAGTGTACGTGTTACTTCTTTAGTTCCGTTGTTTATGTGGCACTGGAAGGAATAGCTAGATGTCATCTTTTTACTTGTGATGACCAAGCTTAGCATTTTGTCATGCAGGCCCCTGACGAAGAAAGCTAAGACAGGCAAGCAATCAAAGATGGACAACTCATCAGCTAAAAAGTAATTGAAACTGAAAGCAAATAGTTAACAAGTGTTGAAGTCTCTAAAATAATTCTCTACTAATACGTAATATTGTACTTCTGATGTATTCAGGGGTAGTGGAGCTGGATCAAGCAAGGCTAAAGCTACTCCTGCTTCCAAGTCCAGCAAGACGTCCCAGGATGACAAAACAGCGAGCAAATCGAAGGATTCAAAGGAAGCTAGCAGAGAAGAGGAGGCGAGCTCTGAGGAGGAGAGCGAGGAAGAGGAACCCCCCAAAACCGTTGGTAAATCAGGAAGCAGCAGGTCGAAGAAAGATATAAGCAGCGTATCGAAATCTGGGAAATCTAAAGCTTCATCCAAGAAAAAGGAAGAGCCCTCCAAGGCAACAACTTCTTCAAAATCCAAGTCGGGACCTGTGAAATCTGTACCTGCCAAAAGCAAGACAGGAAAGGGTAAAGCAAAATCTGGTTCTGCGTCTACACCTGCTTCGAAGGCCAAAGAGAGCGCTTCCGAGTCAGAATCTGAAGAGACACCCAAGGAGCCAGAACCAGCAACTAAAGCGAAATCAGGCAAGTCACAGGGGAGTCAATCAAAGTCCGGTAAGAAGAGGAAGCGATAAGTGTCTGGGCTTGTGCTCTTTTCTCTTTTGAATTATGATGGTTTATGTAATTTAAGGTGGAAAGCGATAAGCGTGTGGTGGGTAATGGTGGCCGTGAAATTGAACATCGTCTTGAGCAGTAGAAGTGTAGAATTGTTTTAAAGACAAACGTCTAGTAGTGATGCTTTTTTATTTACTTAGGTTTTGATTTCAGATGTAGTTTGTGTTAAGGTGGATACATAAGGAGGTTGCTTTGGTTATTTTCATTTCATTTTATTTTTTGACCCACGTTTTTCTGTCATCTATCTCTCCCTCTCTTTGGAGTGTTGCAGAGAAAATTTGGGCAGAAAAAAAAAGAAAAGGGAAACACATTCCGACGATTATTAGCCTGTTATCTTCCTAAATCATCATTTGAATTTGACTCGAGTGTTTATGTTGAGTTATGGATTTGTGCTGCTATTCGTAACCCTGGTTTGGGAACATTAGACAAGAAAATAGTTTGAATGCTTTCTAATGTATGTATATCCACCAGTACTGGGTAAATCGGCAGGTTCTCTAGTAACTTCAAAAAAATTGCTATTTTTTGAAAATGTTACTGTACCAAAAACTTTAAAATATGGGGCAAAGTAAAACTCGTTGTGACTGGGAGTTGTGTAGTCTTGTATACTCAGAGATTTTCCTATCTTATCTTTGTAATTTAATACTATGATTTGTTTCTAGATGAAACAAAGACTTTTCTTACGAATATATGTGTGGTTTACGAAATGCTCGGAGATTCCTAAAAGGATACCCAATGTTTGCTTCCCATATTTAAGGAATATTCCATTTACATTAGCCATACGTAGGATTTAAAACTTTTAATTTATCAACAAGCCTTGCAATGAAGGACCTTAGGCCAGTAGATCTGAGGTCTTAGATGGGGTTTTATAGTATTTTTTTGCGCATAAAGTTGCAAGTTATACATTATTTCTTTCATTTTTTCAGGAAAAGAAAAAGTAACAAACTAATAGTAAGAGATGTTTAATTAAAACAAGATCTAGAGACATTAACAAACGGAAAAGAAACATTATTGTTATGCGTATAAAAAAATAGATGTAATACATTGGTGAATGGGATAACATGTGGTCCATGATCCCATACTCTCTCTCATTTCTCACTTTTCATAGGCCCAGATGAAATATGGGTAAAATGTAAACACACGATTCGTTTATTAAAAACCTAATTAGAAAAATGATTTTTTGCGTTCTGTGAACTGGTTTTATCCAACATAAATATATTTTAAGAACTCTTTTGATTTGTATTAAGGTAGACTACTAGACTCCGAGCAACTATCTTTTTTTTTTTTTTAATATAGATGATCTGCTTCGTTTTTTCGGTTATGAAGATAACCAGACATTTGATGTTTTGATAGATATTATAATCATAATCTAAATTTGACATGCAATATAGTTTAATTTTTAAAACATATAAAAAAAGCGATCAGAATATCTTGTAATATTTACTTCAAAAATTTATATTTCGAATGTGCTTGTCAACTATAAAATGTTCATGGTTGTCTAATTATCAAAATGTTGTTTTAAAATTAAATTAAATAAGCGACCGTCAAAACTGTTTTCTAGATTTTTAGAGTCATATTTGTCATAAATTAACTATTAGGATAGATAGATAGAGATAGTACATGCCACTTCTACTTAACAAATCCAAAAGGAAACATCTTTTCATAATTATATACATGTGATATCTTAGACTATGCAAAGAGTCGGAGTTATGTTTTTCTCTGTCATCGGGAAGTAATGAATCTGGACAGTCTTAGGTCAACAAACACACAAAAGTTCTTGACCTTTTCAGCCTTCACGCGATTTCTAAAATTATGTTTTTCCCTTCGCAATTTCTTTAACATCATCACACACACAGTGCATGATATACAAACACATTAAAAAAACCTTTTTTTAACACTTTTTAATATATGTGTTAATTGTATTATTGCATTTATTTTCTGGTTGGATATGTTAAATTATTGCAAAGAAAATCGATATTATGAAATCTAACTCGTAATTTTTTTGATTTTTTTTATCTTTTTATCTATGTCCTAATCTTTTGCCACGAAATATTTAGTAGTTGATCACAAAAAGTGAAAATAAACGACAATGCATCATACTTGACGATTTTTTAATAATAAAAATAAATAAATAAATATATATATATATTTACATACCAATTTTGTTTTCGAAAATAGTGCACTGGAAATGTTATTAAAAAGCAGTGCCCTGAATGGATTACACATGAGGAAGTTCCACATTAGTGGTGGTGTTACAAGATCAGCATAAGGATTCTCTAACCATTTTCTTAGAACAAATTCTTGTTGTGACGAGTGCATATGTTTTGGGGGATCTATCTTTTCTTTATGCATGGTATTATTTCATTTTTAAAAATCTTTGTTTTATGGGTGGATGATAAACGATACTAATATATTTAATATATTCTATAAATATTCAGCTTATTCTCAGCATTTTGCACCAATTAAAAACGTTTCGGCATCTCAGAAAGATATGAAATTAGCAACCGGAAATTGGATTGTTTACCTGGTTTCTTACTCGTTAACACGTGTCCAATTGAATTAATTCTTAAAATTGTGAAATAATTTTAAAGATTAAGTTACAATTGATATTTGAGGTTCCAATATGTATTCCTCCCTCAAAACTTTAATACATCTGTGTTAGTTTCACCTAGACCTTACTTCTCTTTACTTCTCTTACTATTAATTATTACTTCTCTTACAGCTATTTTCACATATATATAGAAAGTTTAAAACCTGTATACACGTTTATTTAAACTAGTATTGTTTTAGGTGAAAATAGCAAAAAGGACAAAGTATCTGGGTGAAATTGGTGGTATATGAAAATTTCAAAAGGTCGACCTGACATTTTTGTATTATATGTGTTTGGTAAAATCACAAAAGATGGAAAACCTATGAAATAATATTTCCAAAGAAATGTGTGATCTTTTTACAAAGATTAGAAGATGACCTATAGGTGGCATCAACATGTTATATGATCAATTGGTAACTTTTAAAACTATCATGGTTTTAGTAAATCAATTAGAAAGAGTTAAACACCAAATAGTTACAATTTGGTCAATTTTATTTGTTCGGTTAATTTGTGTTTGTTTGCTGTAGTAGAAGTCTTTGATAAAGATTTCTTGTATTTGTATTTTAAAATTATTATAATATTAAAAGAGCTGATTCCCAAAAAATAATATTTTACCACTCCCATCGTGAAAGACCAAAATTCATTTCTCAAAATTCTAGATCATTTTCTAGGCTTGTCGTTGCCGTTTATAGGTTATGAGATTGACCACTATAATCTGCAATGGTACTGTTGAATCCAATCCGTTCCATTCAAATGTCTCTCTCTTCAGACATCTGTCCCATTGCATGTAAGAGGGAGAGAGATAAGAAACAGACAAAAGCCAAAAAAAAAAAAAACAGAGATAAGACTCTTCTTGAAGAGAGTGAGAGACAGAGAGAGATAAGGTTTTTTGTTTCCTTCTTTAACAGATTCTTCCTCTCTTCTCCTCTCCTCTTATTAATCTAATCCTCCTCCCCGAATATTTCTCTGCCTTTAGTTCTTTCTTTTTTGGTAATATATTTATTTTTCGTTACGATTTGGTCAAAACCCTAGATTTGTTTTCCAAAAGCATATCTGAAAATGAAGGACAACTTTCCTCTTCTCCTTCGATTATAAATATTCTCTCCGGTTTTGCTTGTTTAACCTAAAAGCCTCAGATCTAACTCCAACACCTTCAAAGTCTGCCTCCTTTCCAATCTTCTTTCTTCTGTTCGATCTCTAATCTCAGAATTTGTGTCGGTAAGGTAAAGGTGATAATGAGTGATGACTGATGAGGGAGTTTTGGGACAAATTTTAAGAGAAACGCATAGAAACTGACAGAAGAGAGTGAGCACACAAAGGCACTTTGCATGTTCGATGCATTTGCTTCTCTTGCGTGCTCACTGCTCTATCTGTCAGATTCCGGCTCCGATTCGGTCCCGTTCACGTTTTCTTCTTCTAATTGTGTTCCCATCTCTCACTTTCTCTCTCATGTGTTCTTCATCTCTCAAAGGTAAATTAAATACGATCTGATAATATCTGTATGAAGATTGTTCTTATTTGCTGCCATTGATTTGGTTCCCAATTGCATGCGAGTTTGCTTTTTGTATTTTCCTTTGTTGAACTTTATATTTTATGAGATCATTAGTATCGAAAGCCTAATCTATGAGTTTAAGGCGTGGTTAAGTGAGATTAACATGGGACCATTAACGTTAACCTAGTTTTCTTAGGCTGGTCCAAACACTTTTGAATCCCTTTATTTCCTCGATCCAAGTTAATATTAAATCGTTTATCTTTTTCTTTTATCTCGTTTCTCATTAGCCCTTTTAAATCGTGATTTCTAGTCGTGATCTCTTTATAAATATCTGTAGATATTATTTGCTCCATACGATCATATCTATGTGTATAGTCATGGATCTTGCAAAGTACTGTTCATGATCTTTGAACTGCTAGTGATTAGTCGTTTGTTGTGCAGATTATTTATATTGCATGCTCGTACGTTTTGATTCCATTTATGTAATTATGTTTCTAATTTCGTCTATTATATATAGTTTATTGTGTTTTGTACTACTTGTAGATGGTATCTAATTTATATATCATTGATCCATGTGATCACGTTGTGAATCTTGTGAGAATATTCTCGTGGGTTTGTTTCTTGATTTAAGAACATGCTATTTTGGTTTGTTTCTTGATTTGAGAACATGTTGTTTGCAGGTCCTCAAAACGACGTTTCAGACAGTGTTTGAAATTTGTTTGTTGTTTTTTTACCAAAATCTTCAAGTGATTTGAACCTGGTAGGGAATTTTTGGATCTAGGAAGCGATTTGTCATTTGCAGTATCATGATTAAGGAATTTCCAGTATTTGACTGCTTTATGTATGTTTCATGTCTAGATTGTGATGAAAATTAAAATTTGACCTTTTCTCATTTACTTTTTTTCTCTACGCCAAAACACTTCAAAATTTCATTTTTAATTCATATATATTTATTGCAGGTATGAAATGTTATCTTGGGGTTTTCTTCTGGGGGAAGAGGTGAGACATATTCTACAAATCAATAAAAACATCTAACATTCATCGTGTCTATTGTATTGCTAGATGTCTATTGTCATACGTTTGTGTTGTTCTTGCTACTGATTTGTTTCTTGCTATTGTATTGTTCCCATGTTTTTCATTGTTTACAAACCGACGAAAAGAAGCCAGATGAGATGCAAACTTTTGTTCTTGCAATAATTGACAACAATTGGTTTTTAATTTCTTCAAGAGAAATAGTATAGTGTTTTCTTGATGCTTGTGAAATGAGTTAGCATTAATCATTCATCGATAATCCTCAAACGCCATGTCTAAAAGAACGATATGTAAGTTACAAGTTCTCTCGTTATTCTAAAGTTAGTCTGATGGAAATGTCTCATGATACTAAGCCATCATTTGAAATGGAATATATATGGTTTGCAGAGCTCATATGTATACTTAGCTTGCATCACATTATTGCTGTGATTAAGATGTCACTAAGGTTTTGTTTTAGAATGACATAGAGCATTTTTGGTGAGCTAGGAAGACAGATCAAAGAGGCTCTAAGTTTGTCAAAGGTATTAGATATTTTCCGCATTTAAATGCATTTATAACTTGGTTGGTTTCCATATCATAAAATTGCATAAGTCTAGTTGTGTCTTGATCGGAAGGCTTTTCATGTTCTGTGCAGGCTTTTGCTATTGATCACCTCTCTGATATATATTTATTCATTCTATTTCAGGTTTGGATTATCTATATCGATATTTTGGTAGCCACCCCTTTCAAATTGGTCATGCAAAGTCAAAAAGAGATGAATACTGCAGGGCTTTTGCGTAACCTATTTGTAATATTCTGTGGTACTGATTAAGAGTTGATGTGCTTTGATCTATTTAATTGATTTCGTCATGTTGCACATATATGCTATTGTTGTAGTTTAGAGTGTTCTGCAAGTCCACTGCAGATTTATTATGACAACTTGGAATTGAAACTTGAATCAAGAATTATCCAAGATTTAAGGAATTGACGTAGTACCAATAGTTCAATACAAAGTTAGAAATGTTATGTTCAGGGAAACAAATCCTAGTAATTGTCTCTCTTTGGTATACAACTAGCCTTTTTTCCTAGCAATTAGCCATTTCAAAAATACAAAGTCAAAGAAGTCTTTATCAATCAAGTGGAGGATAATAAAACTAAGAAGTCAAAACATGTAATTTACATATTTAATTGATCCTTCAAAACTTATCCATATAGAAAATATCTTCTCCTCGTTTACAAACCTTTGCCTTGTCAATAATATTATACATCTGTTAGAGACCTATACAGATGGATAATCCAAAGCATTGTTTAATTTCCCGGCTTTAGTTGACTAGTTCAGAAGAATACCTTTTATATTTTTTTCCCCCAGTAATCAAGTTAATGATGTTATTCTCTGAAGTTTAACAGATATTTTATTGAAATTTAAAAATCCAGAAATCAAGCCCAAATTTAATTTTTGAAAGTAGCCCATTTATGAGAAAACCTATAAGAGCCAATAATTGACTCAACCGGTAATTGAGAAACCACTGGTCAGTCGTACTAACCATTGGTCAGCCGTACTAACCGTTTTATCCACTTTATTGCTGTCGCCGAAAACAGGGGCCGTAGAAACAAGAGCCGGTTTAGGGCTGAGACATATCACGGAACGTGTTAGACAATTTACCATTTAAATAAATTAACCAGATATCATTAGGGACATATTATAGTGGTTGCACTTGTTTAATACTAGCAAATTAGGGGGAAAAAATCGCAAGTTGTCTATAATAATCCTTTGAATTCGGGTGTAATGTTGCGCTGTTCTGTGAAAGTTCTAGTTTTTGGTTTGCCAACACATTTTAACAAAAAAATTAGCTTAACTTGTTCCGAGTAATTTCATTGACGAGTCTTTGTAATTTTTAAATCTTGAGATAATGGTGACAATTATGAAGGTAAAATACAATAATTTATTCTTTAAAACAATAATAAAGACCTTAATAGTGTATATAAAGTCTTACAAAGAACTTTTGCAGATTGATATCTGAAAGAAGACATGGAGGAGACGAGCGAGAGTCTTGCCTGCAGGTTAGAGAAATACAAACTCATAGAGACATCGACCATCGACACAGCAGTGAGTTATCGACGCCTGATATTGGATTTTGACGAAGATTTGCTTAACAGGAGACGGGAGCTCGCAACTGCCTTTAATTCCTTCGTCTGGCCGGTCTTTGAACCGATCGAAAATTCCTTCGACTGGCCCGTATACTCAGTTTTCCTCGACCCCGAAGATCTTCTTCTCGGAGAAGTTTGTGAAGAGCCACGGACACCTCTTATTAAGACTCGAAAGATACGAGATCCTCCTCCTCGAGTATCTCGTAGATCATCACAAGTATCTAGACCGATTTATCTCCGCCATAGATTTCTCCCACAGTCAAGGAAACAGTCTTCTTCTTCTCGACGCCAACGTTAGTCTTATAATTAAGCACTCTCATTTTAAATTTATCCACGAATTGAATATGTTTGTGTGTGTTGTAAATATTCTAATAATTGGATGTTTATGAATAAGCCTAAAGGCACTGCTTGATGTTTATATGGAATGGTTATTGAACAAATCATGCGATTGTATAATTTTATTTACGTTACAGAAAGAAAGGTTTTACATGTATCATGTATGTATATCTCAATTTCTGGTATACCAACAATAACCTGGAAATTTGTGTACCACATATGCCAACACTAAATTTAAGCCGCAAGCAACTTCTGGATGTCCTTCTGCCAAACAAACATATTGTTAGTATTAAATTATAGGACCACTCAACATTCCGCCGTGTCACATGGAAAAATAATGTTAGTAAACTTATTTGGTATCAACTTTTAATCCATATTTTACATATGTTAGGAATGTTAAAACGTAAAATTGATAGATTCTCTATTTACATTAGAAAAGTTCAACTGGTGGTTTGGTTCACGACATGAACCATGGATCCAGTTATCCAGATTGAATTAGAGTTTTGAATTTGGTACCTCGATTTGGAAAGGAGAAGTTGTGGGAGGGTATCTCTCGACAACTTTGCCCTTTTTATCAACCAAGAATTTCTCAAAGTTCCATTTGATGATATCACCAAGGAAACCACCAGCATTGGATTTCAAGAACTTGTAGATTGGAGCTGTGCTTGGTCCATTCACATCAACCTGAAGAACATAACTTATCAAAACTAATTAAAAGATATCTCCCTAAACTCAAAAAAACGAGAGTTCTTTTTTTCTATATACCTTGTCGAATATAGGGAACTCTGCTTTGAACCGGGTGCAAGCAAATTGCTTGATCTCAGGGTTTGAACCGGGTTCTTGACCTCCAAATTGATTGCAAGGGAAAGCAAGAATCTCAAATCCTAAAAACGAGAGAGACACAATAAATAAGAATCTCACAATCACTGTGTTACCTTAATTAAATTTAGATGTGTAAAAAGCTTACTATAACAAGCACACCTTGGTTCTTGTATTTTTCGTACAGTTGAGAAAGCTCTGAGTAATTTGATGATGTCAAACCACTGACACCGTGAAGTTAAAAAATAAACTTAAAAAAAATTTCAGATGAAAAAACTTATCAAATAGAAAAATTCGAAGAAACAATAAAAACAATCACCATCTTGACGCAACGTTAACGATCAACAAAGGTTTTCCTTTGAATTTGTCCAGAGAAACATCATTACCATCGATGTCCTGTCTCAAAAAAACACAATTATGTCTCCAAAGTCTAGGTTTTAATTAGGAAGCTCTCACATGTACTACATAATTCAGTGAGGTTGAGAAAAATCATATTTTGACGACAGAACAAATTCTTCAATTTCGATAACGAAGAAACAAAAACCTAATTTTCTTCTTCAGATAAATTAAA